AGCCTTATTTTTATTTAGAAAAAAATAGAAGAGTAAACCTAAATATAGTTTACTAACCTGTTTATTGTTCTCTGCCATGGAAAGCTGCAATGCCAAGAGCATGGAGTCTGCGCCACACAGAGTAGTTCTTTCAGAATCACAAAGAACATGCCAGTTCCTTCTAAATGCTTTAATCATGTCCAAGACAGACTTCTGATTAAGCACAGCCATTCCCTTAAAGTAGGACAGAATACAATGTTAAAGTGCCTTATTTTAATTGGAAATTAACATTTAACATGTGTAAGCAAGCACAATTAGAAGGGGGGGGGTAGTAAATGAGAGATTATTTCATATTTACCAAGATTGTTGTTAATTAAATTCAGGAAAAGAGAATAATACAATTTCTGCTCAATCATATTTTCCTCTACTTTAGTTTTCTTAAGCCAAATCTTTTGAAATAACAAAATTCAACCTTCAATTCTGAAAATTCACAAAAAAAACATGAATTCTGCAGACTTATAATTAAAGACGCAGACATAACTAATTAAAGCTGTATTTTTAAAATATTTATTTTGAGATAGATGGTAGTTTAAGGGGAGGGGGAGCCAATTTCCTCCCATCTCTATATTGTTCCAAAAGTGGTGGTCTATTTTTTCAACCCTTTGAATCTGGGTCAGTCTTGTGACTTAATTTTACCAATAGCATGTGATGAGAATGACATATGGGAATTCGAAGACAAGGCCTTAGGAAGTACAGAAGAGTTAATGCATCAAGAATGACTGCTAACATTGGCAGCTAGATTCTGGGAACTTAGATTTCAGGAGGGTTTCCAATAAAAGTAGTTCACTGTGCTAAACTATTTGTACAAATAATATAGTTTATGCCGAACATTTGGTCTCCTTCTGAGTCTGGAATTCAGACAGAGCACACCTATGTGCTCAGCCCCCAATTAAAAAACAAAACAACAAAACAATAACAAAAAAAAAAAAAAACCTGGCACTAAGTCTCTAATAAGTCTTCCCCAGTAGACACATTTCTTGTGTGTTGTCACCTGTTTCTGGTTGATTCCTGTGTGACTCTACGAGAAGAGGACCTTTAGAAGCTTATACCTGGTCTCCCTGGACTTTGCCCCATATTCCTTTTTCCTTTGCACTGTTGTTTTGTATCCTTTTGCTGTAATAAATTATATCCATGACTACGACTATATGCTGAGTACTCCGAATCCTCCTAACAAATCATCCATTCTGGGTCTTGAGGACCTCCCAACACAAGGCCTTCAACTCTCACTATATTGTGGCCCTGAGACTGCTGTATTAAAAAGTTCATGCTAGCCTCCTGAAATGGACACATGAAAGAGAACCACAGCACTCCATGTGAAACTTACACCAACTCACAGGTGAATGAGGGAGGTGTCCTTACACTACCTAGCCTCAGTCAACCTGCCAGATGAATGTCAGCAACATGAGTGATCTCAGGCAAGACCAGCAGGAGAATGACCTAGCTGAGTATAGTACCAAACTGCTGACCTACAGAACCATTAAAAAAAAAGGTTGTTATTTTACAGTCACAAATTTTGAGGTGGTATGTTGCCACAGCAATAGACAACCAATGAAAGAGCTAACATTTAGGAATTATGTGGTGTCAGATACTTTTCAAAAGTTTAATATTGATTACCCCACTCAACTCCTAAAAGTACCATATCAAGGTAAAGCCTATTATTATCCTCATTTCACACCTGAAGAAAATAATGCACATGTCACTCAGCTAGTAAATGGTCAAACAGGCATAAATATAGATTTCTAAGTCCATAAGCTGGACTCTTAAATCACTATATTTCATAACTTCTTCTCATGCTGACAAAAGCCCTTCAAAATAACCTGATGTCGTGCCAATGTTTTATATACACAAGGCAGCCAATTCCTTTCTCTGAATTTACAAATATGCCTGCTAAGTTTTTTTCCCATTTTCTTTTAACTACCCAAGTCTCCAACACAATCTTCACATGTGGTATTTTCCATACACATCCTATTTACTGACTCCTCTGTTATCCTTTTGTTCTTATGAAGCATAAACAGAATCCCAGATGTTTACTAGGTACCTAAGGCTTGTACAATGAAGAAAAAGGGCATATGCCATCTGCAAAATAATAATTTAAATTACAGACATAATCTGTGATACTATTTAAAAACACAGGTAGCAGACCACACATAGCTAAGTTATATTTCTATTCAAAATATCACCTCCATCTCTTAAAAAGAAGAATATGAAGAAGTAAGTAAAGCATCAGCAGCAGTGATATTATCAGTTTACTTGAAATAAAATTTCAGCAGATTCCTTACTGGTATTTTTTTTTAAAGATACTATGAGTTGAGATTCCTGTAAGTGAAAACTCATCTAGAATTAGATCATTCTGAATCCTGGCTCCACCCACTTACTAGTTATGGGATCTTGGCCAACTTATATCACTTGTCCTGCCTCAGTTTCCTTGAACTGAAAGTAAAAATAGTTCCTATGTTGTAGGGTTTTGTGAGAGCAATGAGAAAATGACATAAATACACACAAAGCTTTTGGAACAGTGCCTGGCACATAAAAAAGCACATAACCTATTATCACACATTATGAGATTCTAAGTCATTTTTGCTTGTTTTTGTTTTTGGTACTGGGGATTGAAACCAGGGGAACTTTACACTGAGCTCCATTTCCAGTACTTGAACTTGCAATCTTCCTGCCTCAGCCTCTGGAACTGCTGGGATGATAGGCATGTGCCACCCTGCCTGGCTGTAGGTTATTTTGAGTTAAAATTGAAACAACATTACATCGGGCACAGTGGTATACACCTGCAATCCCAGAAACTCCTGAGGCTAAGGTAGAAGGATTGCAAGTTCAAGGCCAGCCTCCACAAATTTAGCAAGTCTCTGTCGCAAAATGAGGATAAGAGCTGGAAGCACCACTGGGCTAAATTCTCAGTTCCAAAACACCAAAAGAGAGAAGAAGGATAAGAAGAAGGGGGGAAAAACACTAATGGTGACAGAACACCAACCAAGAGTCTCATCTAGGGGTCAGCAAATTTTTTGGAGAGAACAAATAGTAAACATTTAAGACATGCAGGCCATATCATCTGTGTCATAACTACTTTACCTTATAGTATGAAAATAGTCGTAGACAAAATATAAACAAATGAGCAGAGCTGTGATCCAATAAAATTTTATTTGTGGACACTGAAATTTGTGTTTTCATATAATTTGCACATATCACAAAATATTCATTTTTTTTTCTCCCAACTATTTAAACATGTAAAGTCCACTCTTAGTTCAGAAGCCAACTGTACAAGAACAGGAAGTGCAAATGGTTTGCCAACCTCTGATCTAGTTCCTGTTCTTCTAGTAGCTCTTCCAGTGGCTGTGTGAACCTAGTTAATAAGCTTTACACCTGGCTGCCCAGTAGAGGTATCAGAACACTGAAAATCTAATTTTTCAACTTACCTTCCAGCCAGTTGTCAATGAGAGGAGTCAATGAGAGACTTTATGTGCAAGCACTTTGCAGGCTACACTGTACAAAAAGAGCCTTAGAATGTGGCCTTAGAAATAAACACTTGTTTTAAAAAGTCTACTCCAAGGTGCACTGAAGCAAAAAAAAAAAAAAAATATATATATATATATATATATATATAGAGAGAGAGAGAGAGAGAGAGAGAGAGAGAGACATGAAACAGAAAATTCTCACTGGGAGGCAAAGTGAGATGGTTGATAGAAATATACTTTGGATTCAGATACAGCAGAATTCACACCCAGACCCCTTATTGGTTAGTTCTACGCTTTGGGGTATTTAAAATCTCTTATGAGCATCTGCAGAAAGGGTAAGATAATTTCTACCTAATAAAATGATTAGGCATTAATGAAAAAATTATACAACCCACTTAATGCTGAGCATTTAGTAGGTACTACTAAATAAAAATGGCAGTTGATGCTGTTATTATCAGAAGGCAGGTCCTAAATGTTCCTTGGGTGCAAATAATAACAAAGGAAGAGGGGAATTGTGGAATTGGAATCCGCCTACATCCTAGAACTAGAATCCTGATTTCCTGCCTTTCTAATGGACTTTAAGCAAGCCTCCATGAACCTCAATCTTCCAATCTGCAGGATCCCTCGGGATCTTTCAGCTCCAGCACAAAATACTGTGAACTCTGTCCAATGCGTGCTGACCCAATAGTCTTTAGAGAAAGCCACTACACAAAACCCCAGGTGGTCACTTAGCACTGTGCTATCACCGAAACGCTCAGACAAGCCGCATTTTGAATCGTCACGCAAAGTAGGAATGGCGGCAGGGAGAAAGCGAGACTCACTTAGCTCAGAGAAGACCCCGGAGGTGCAAATCTCAGGGAGGTAAGGCCCCTCACGACTACAGATGGACCGCAGCTCAAGTAGTTGCTGGTTACATTTCAAATATCGCGGGAGGGCTCGGGAACCAATCGCTGCGCTCGCCCTTCGACCCGGAAGCAGAGGCACGCGCGCCGCTGCAGCCCGCAGCTGAGACCAGCTCCCTCCAGGTCGCTTCCCCGCCTTCTCCGGTGCGTAGCGCGCGGGCGATCCAGGGGGCCTCGCCGGTCGCTTCGGGTCCCCCCGGGCTCCAACCCTGTCCCCCAGGAGCTCTTCCCTTTGATCTCGGGCTCAGGGAGGCGGGTTGTCACGGGACACACCTGGCTCTGGGAGAGGCTTGGGAGTTATCTTGTTCCTTCCCTCTTCATCTGCCCTTCCACTCTGTGACTTGAGTGGGCAAGTCCCAGCTCTCGGGTACAGTGAAGCCCTGTGAGTGTTGGCACCAGGCTTTCAAGAGCAATAGGTGAGGTACCGAGTCTCGACCTCCAAACTCTGGCACTAGCATCTCTCTCTGCATTGGAGGACTTCTCACCTGCTGGTTACCCTTAACACGTGTCCAGTCCTGGATCCGCATTCATTAAGGTTATTAGTATATAAGCTCCCTGAGGGGTAAGACTTATCTCATTCTCAGTACAGACTCAGACACTTGTTTTTTCTTTTGTTTTTTAAATTTTTTTTAGTTGTAGATGGACACAATGCCATTATTATTATTATTATTATTATTATTATTATTATTAGCGTAGTGCGGGGGGGGGGGGGGGATGGAACCCAGTGCCTCACGCATGCTAAAGCACTGTACCACTGAGCCACAACCCTGGCCCCCAGATATTTGTTTTCATTGCCGAGTCCAGCTGTTTTCAGAACAGTTCTTTGTGTGTGTGTGAGTGTGTGTTATAGATGGACATAATACTTTTATTTTTATGTGGTGCTGAGGATCAAACCCAGTGTCTCATACGTGCTAGGCAAGTGCTCTGCCACTGAGCTGCAACTCCAGCTCTTTTGTCTTATGTTTTCTAAAAAATATATATTTTAGCTCTTTAAAATTCATAATTCTCATGCGGGAATGATGTTTTCAGAGTGCACTCTAAGCCTTGACAGGTTAGTTGAGGTTTTGTGCCCAGTTTTGTAAATCAGTCACACATGTTGGCCCTCTAGATCCTCCAGGATCTGTATTTTATATCAGCTTATATTATGGCACTTTTCACACCTAGTCATAACTATCCTTGTTGGTGATTTCCTTCAAGGAAATAGGCCATCTTTTGTTTGTTTGTTTTGTTTCCTCTAGCACCACTGCCCAACACAATAAAATCTTTCAAGTCCTGGCTTTTGTTTATGAGCTTAACAAATTAACCACCTAAAGCCTCCATGCCTTGGTTTTTAAAATGGGATCAACAGGTATTACCTGTTTTTAGGTTAGTGCGAATATTAGGGGTATGCCAGTAAAATGCTAAACAGGTACCTACAAATACTGTTTCATAAATTTGAACTATTATTAATTTCTTATGAATATACTTTCTTTTAAGATGATTCCTTTTTTTTTTTTTTGATCCAACCCAGGGCCTTGTGCATATGAGGCAAGCACTCTACCAACTGAGCTATGTCCCCAAGCCATAAGATGATTCCTTCTTTAAGTACTCAGTGTATCTTTAATTAATTAGATACAATTTTATGATGTTATATACGTGGGTATCATGAATGTGGTAAAGAGGAAAGCTGTAGAACAGTGCTTAATTATAAATAGTTAAAGTAAGGGGTTTTTTCCCTGTATCTTCTGTCCCTTTATAAGTACTCTAAATGCTTTTGGGGATCTGCCTTTGACAATTCAATACCAAACCTTATTTTGAATCATCTGTTAAATGACCAACACTGACCACTTCTAATTATGTCTGTGCTATAATCCACAGTTTCGCGACATTGTGCAGTAGAAATCTATTCTATTTCTACAACTGCTCCAGTTTTGACATACAAGATGAAGCAAGATCCCACAAGAAATGCTGCCTACACTGTGGATTGCGACGATTATGTACATGTGGTAGAATTTAATCCCTTTGACAGTGGGGATTCAGGAAATCTAATTGCATATGGTGGCAATAATTATGTGGTTATTGGCACATGTACATTTCAGGTTAGTGCACAAACTACAGTGAATGATAGTGAAAATATTTCACTGATAAGAAATTTATACAAAGTTAAACTTTGGAAGTATATTGAATTTTAGTCCAAAAAAAAAAAAATGATATGAAGACCCACAGAGAAGGATATTCCCAGTAATATATGCTTGAGATTTGTGCAAACATTATATAAATGAAAACATAGAGTATGAAGTTCCTTTTTTGCCTATGATTAGAAATGAAATATTGTGGTAATTAAAGGCTACGAGTAACTGAATATTGGTATGTACAGAAAAAATTCAAATCCAGTTAATTACAGTTTTTCTATATTCTGCTTTTACATAGGAAATAAGGTCATATTGAGAGCTTAAAAAGTCTTCCAGGAGAATTTACAACTTTCATGATATTCAGTTTTCCTATTAATTTGTTCTCACTTTTTACATTTAAAATATACATCTAAAGTATATGAGATATGGGATCGTATTTAAGTGAGCAGGCGGGTCAGCATAGCCCTTAAAGAGCATAAATTCTGGAGCCAAAATACCTGGGTATTTTACTTCTGCTTGGCTGTACCTCTGAACAACTGCACAGTCTTGAGCAAGTACTTAGCCTCTCCTATAATCATTAGAATATAATGCTCAAAAGGACTTTTTGAGGATATGATGAGTTAGTGTGTATAAAATTTCTAGATGCCATCTGGCACATTGCAATCTGTATATGTTTTAATTATCATTGATAATGGTATTTGTGATAGTTGTAGCCCCATATTTAACACCAAAGTAAGATTGCTTTGTGGTGAGCACACACAGTGTTTTCTTACGGGAAAGCTACTATATGTAAGAGCCTAAAAAAATTGAAGCTTTAGCCATCTGGAATCTATGGCTAATCCTTTGTTGATCGGGATATTATTCACAGAACTATATTTCTCAAATTAGAATTAATCAATGAGGTAGTTTGGCAGTCCCCAATTTTCAAAGGTTTAAAATAACTATTATTAAAGTGATGTTATAAACATTATTTCCTCTTTCACTTAAGAGACAAGTTTCATATCTTGAACAGTTTTGACATCAGAATGCAATTTAGCACTTTATAGTACAATAAATGTGTAAAGTTATACAAAATTAGGATGCATTCATATTTATCCTAAAGGGAAGTATATATTTAAGGTTTTAGTTGTTATTTGAGTAAAACATGAGAACTCTTAGGCTACCCCACATTGTCTTATTAGGTAGGGGTAGGAGTTTGTAACTTTTAGGTTACATATGCCCCTTGACCTAATTTCAGATGGAATGCTGGATTAAGATGATAAAAAGTCATATAATTAGATAATGTAACATACTTTTGAAAAAGACCAAGGAGAAATAATTTCTCTCATGTAGTCCACTAATAGAATAAAACAGCCCCCTACAGGTGAAACAAACTTCCTGCTTCATTATTTTAACATTAGTAAATGTAAACACAGACTTTGAAAAATGTTTATCTCTAGCTTATGATCAGTTAAAACATGTTGTGGGAGAAAGTCAAGAAGGGAGAACAAATTAGGAAAAAGGAAAGACAGAGATAATGGGTAGAAGTGGGGAAAATGACTCAGTGAGAAAAGAGAACAAGTGAAAGCATTTGTATTATTCCATTATGGTTTTTAGTGACATGCATTGTCTTGAATGATTCTCAGACCTGGGAGTTGGCAATGTAGATCTTATCTCCAAATTACCTAGGGAAAAATTAGATTTTGTATTATTTTAGCATATAGTGATCACATCATATTCTAAGCCAGGCATTACAAATGCAGTTAAACAAACCAGTTCCTTTTCTTTTAGAATTTATATTCTGCTTCAGAAAAGTTCAGGGATTTGCATGATTAGGAAATGAAAAAAATAGGATCTAGACCCTATTCTTATACTTTTTTTTCTTTTCCTGTGCTTCTGTTCAGGAAGGTAGATAAAACAGTTCTGAAAGAGAATTGAGTTCCATTAGTTTGGCCTTGAGGATTCAGAATAAATTAATCTCTTTGAAGTTATTTTTTTTTATCTTGTTAAATCTACTAAACATTCCTAGTCTCTCATCCTAGAACCTTCAGGTTTAATAGCACTCAAATTTCATGCCTCTTGTCTTTTTTTTAGTTGCTCAAGACAATATAATGATCCTGATCATATATTTGATTCAAATGGGGTATGAACTCTTAAGAGAAAACTATACAAAGAATGTTGCATTGAGAGATTTTGACATTCCTATCAGAAAGGCAATTCTTATTATAAGACTATTTGGAAAATACTGATTTTTGAATTTCAGTGGAACAGTTTTCAGAACCTAAAGCTGTCATTTTGAGTATGATAGAAATGTGAGTGGAATGATATAGTACTATTGACTAGTGTCATGCAGTTGTCAAATATTCATTAAGTGCATAGTAGTTGCCAGGAAAATACAAAAGCAAAGACCCTGCCCTCAAGGAGATATGTAAATATAAAGCAGTGCAATAGAAGCCCTATGTATAAAGGACAAAAGAAGCATGAAAGTTTCTAAGTCTATTCGTAGAGTCTTCATTAATGAATTAAGGTATCTAGTTGGACTTGAATGAGAACATTGATTTAGGCAAACACATTGTTTTTATGTGGCACATGAAGCTGAGAAGGATACCTTAATGCTGTGGATAATAGACTTCATTTATTGAGCTCCTGTTATATGTCAGGTTGTGTGTAGATCCAAATGTTATTTAATAGATTGGATCTATGGGCCAAGTTGAGCAAGATAAAATTGAATATAAAGTCTTAAAATGATAGACTGTTAGATCTGAAAGGGAGAATTGTGAATTAGAGTTTTTAGTCATCTGTGTGTTCACCATGAATCAGTGCAATGAGTAAACTGCCAAAGGGAGCTAATTCAGTACTATCCAGTAGGAATATAATATGAGCACAAATATCAATTTAAATATTGTAG